GAATGCGTCGTAAACCTCTCTGGTGGCGAGAGTTGTGGGAGTCGGCGTCGAAGCACAACAGTGAAGGAAATCCGGCCTATTCGCTCCATTCGGTGGTATCGGGAGGATCAGATCCCCAGAGGATTTTTCGATGAGAATCACTCCGTAACGCAACGGTTGGGGATGGACGGAAGTAGTGCACGACGGCGTCTTGCTCCGGATCCGAGCCAGGGTCTTTGATACCCATCTCAAATCGTCTCGCAATATCTCGGGAGGGATGTCACCAGGCTCGCCATATGTGCGCCCCTTGAACACGACAATCTCCACTTGCCCACGCGCATCATCCCCAGCAGCATAGCGCATCTGTGCGTCAAATGCCTGTGTCCCGCCAAAAGAATGATTAAAATCAGGGAGGCACCAGGCTATTGCTGTATACGCACTGCAGGATCGGTCTCAGAGACGGCATGGCACAAGGTTGTCCTTCCACTGGCCACGCAGCGAAACACAAAAACGAAGCACGTATCGACGAGGTCTGTGCACAAGCCGGGGACCGGACTGTCGGGGCTCAGACCGCCCCAGCAGCGCTCCTCGATTCGCTCATAGTCCGTTTGCAACCAATAGTTGGGGGCTTCGTCGTTGATTTGCAGCTTGAAACCTCCAGGTCCAACGACGAGCTCTGTTATTTTCATGAGGGGTGGGTGCAGTGTGGGCGACGTAGGAAGAAAGGAAGGATGTGAGATGGGAAGGTCAGCTGGCGTCGCCGCACTGGGTCCGCACCTCATCAAGAAGCGACGTTATGTTTAGGCTCCACTGCCTTCGCGCGTCGTTCATCATTTGTGGACGAAGCTGCCAACGGCCAAACCCAGGATGTGGTTGTGCCAATGACGTTGAAGATATATAGAGCACTGATAGATTAGCAGCAACGATTGGATACATGAAATAGGAAACATAATCAAGAAACGGAGGTAGAAATCTGTACTGCGGCCAAATTACGGAAACTCTGGCAATCGGTCATAGCCCGAGTCTGACGAGAATGGTACCGAATCAGATGGATCGGATTCCGCGAATAGACGACTCACCGACAGCTATAGCAGGCCAAATGGCGTTGCCAACATGAAGATGGTGTAGACGGAAAACGCAATCAAGACCGTCAGCCATGAGCTGCTCGAGCGTAGATTTGGCGAGATACCCTGGAAACCACAGATCGTCTTTCTCTCCGTACAAGTATGTAAGCTTGAGGTGGAATTTGCACAAGGTATCCGTCTACGTCCACTCTCGCCTATGGTGCAGCATCTCGATCAGGTCGTCATCGTACACGCTGTCGATGTTCAATTTGGTTATTTCAGAGTCGATCGAAACATCCATAAGTCGGGGCACCAAAAGCGCCGAATCGAGGTGTTGAAGTGAAAGGGAGAGGTCCTGGCATTCCCCAGCTTCGAGCACCGAGATCGACGGAAAGACCTCAAGCCAGCCGAAAAGATCCCCTGCGTCTTCTTCCTCGTCGCATCCTCGGAACGAAATGACAAGGTGTTCAACGGTGCAGGGAGAACGGGAAATGAATTGTTGGAACTCTTCTGTTTCGGAAAAGGGTGCGATCTTTATGAAGCGTAGGTTGGGAAGTGTCACAAGCCGCAAGGCGTATGCACTCTCCCCTGACCCCAGAGTAAGGGATGACAGATGAGGGGATACCATAGGTATCGGCCGGTCGGCCATCGAGTATGCGTCGGATGGTCGCAAAGAGAATGTCAGCTGGGTGAGGAGAGGAAACTGCCTCAAGACAGCGATGAACGTCTCCGCCGTAATTTCGGCCGATATCTCCAGATGAGTTAAGAAGGGGAGGGAGAAGTTAACGGAGAAATCGCGTTCCGTGTCGTTGAGCAGACGAAGCTCGCGGATTGAAGGTGAAGTTTGTATCAGGTTGAGCGCATCGATGTCGGAGGAATGGACAGTGGCGAAATGCCGAAGGATTGGGAAATGTGTGCGAAGCGGGCGGAGCTGCTCGAACTGGGCCGGCCAAAGATGCAGATCCAACCGTTCGATCTGGGGGGCATACGACAGGACCAGCTCCAGGAAGGCCTGTGAGGCTCTCCGGTACTGGAAATTGACTCCTAAAGCCAGTGGAATGCCTCTGGCACGAGAAAACCAACAGCGAAGCAGGTTTTGAAACGCCTCATCAGGTAGAGCGGGCTTCTGAAGGACGGTGTCAAAGTCGATACCTGGATCGAAATATAGAGATCTCCAGAGACCGCAAGTGGCTATCGCTACCTCGCGCCAATGGCGACAGATCTGGGCGAGGAGCAACGGCGCCCTGGACGGAGAAGCGCTGACGCGTCCATGGGAAGGGAGACAATGGACGAAGATGCGAGAGAGGTGACATCGAAGGGGAGCGTATGAACTGGGTACACCACGAGCGAGAGGCTGGTCTCTAACTCGCTCTGGTCTTTCTCCAGGTCCTCGATGCGCTTTTTGTAAAGCGCGATTTGCGATTTCACGTCAGCCAAGGCCACCCGACGATTCTGGACGGAGAGTTGACTCGAAGGCAAGGGGGATAGCTGCGGGACAGTGCGCCCAGTCGCTCCTAAGGATGGAGACTGGTGTCCACACTTTTCGCAGATCGACATGGTGGTTTCCTTTGTGTTCTGAGCCAAAGAGGACCACACTGAACCAATCTAAGCCACACATCGGCTAGTCACATGTGTGACTCGCCTCCTTTCGACCACCATGGCTGCAGTTTGCGACAGCTGTGGTCAGTGCAATACGTGGACCCTGTCATCCGCATCGCCCGTGGAATCACCATCCGAATACTCCCCTGTCCAGCTGCGCTCCAATTTGGATGAAGTCACAGCTGAAATCGTGCGGCACAAGGCGTATATGAATGCCCTCCAGGACAAACGGCGCGAGTTGGAGATGCAGCTTGCTCGCATTGTTTATCCTGTCCTATCCATTCCCCCGGAAATTGTCTCCAAATTTTTCGTGGCATGCCTTCCCAGCCACGGACGCGTGCGACCTTCACCTCTTACGCCACCGCTCACGCTCGCCCAGGTCTGCAGTTATTGGCGAGAGATAGCGCTCTCTTCGTGCGAGCTTTGGAGTTCTTTGGATCTCCTCCTTCCGCTGAATTACGATCAGACTCCGAGGAAGTACAGAGATTTCCCAGACGGAAAGTCTTACATCAACAGGATGCGCGGGATGCGCTCTTTGCAGGAAACCTGGTGGGCGCGTGCCAAGGAGCAACCACTCTCATTGACCATACGATCTCTCAACCGGGATTCTTTTCAAATCTCTCCAAAGTTTTACCTTGCGGCTGGACGGGCTCATCGCCTCGAGCTTACACTTCCCAACGACGACCTTCGCCTTCTGGGAGAAATTTGCCCTGCATTTCCGCATCTCAAGCATTTAGCCATATTGCCGCATCGGAGTTATCCATCATCCGCCCTTTCGGTGCTCCCGGACGCTCCTGTGTTGTCGGAGCTCAGACTCGGGAACGTGCCTGCCTTAATGTCCAACCTCTCCCCCCTTTTGACCACCCTCGAACTTCGGCAAATATCCGTCGAAACCCTGTTCGATGCAATGAAACAATGCCCACAACTGCTGCACCTCACGGCTCACATGAAGGATTCTCACAATGGGCGACTAACACCAATTGCCCAGATCGCCTCGCCGCTTCTCCAATCTCTGATCCTTCATGGGTCCAGCATCGAGTCTCTGAACCTTCCTAATTTGCGTCGGCTGGAGCTATATAAGGACCGCTATATGATATTCCCTCCCATCTCTCTATTCGACTCTAACCCCGTCATCGAGCATCTCGGACTTGCCTCCGGCAAATCCTGGGAATTCGTCGAGTGCCTCCGGCGCTCGCCTTCCCTCATATCCTTGCTCGTTCATGTTGATGACCACATCTCGTGGTTCGCTGAGGTGATGGCCCGGGACCCTCCGCTAGTCCCGCGTCTCACTACCCTGACCATCCACGCCTCATTCGATGCGTTATTCGACTACTCTGACTTTATCTATCTTGTGCAGACGCGCCGAAAGCCCCACTTCTGCGCTTCAGACGCAGTTGGCCTCTGTTCGGCTTCATTTACGCGAGGCTGGGATGTATCCCCTCAAGGCCTGGGTCCCGCCGTGCGGTGCAATTGCCCAACTCCGCCCGCTTCTTGACGAGGGCTTGGACTTGAGGGTCATCTATAATAATACCCATGGCTGGCCTGACGCGGGTAAGTCTCCGACGGTATATTCGCAACGAAGCTGACTATGCCGTGCATAGATTTCTGCGAATCCTTTCCCTAAGCAGGCGATAAAGCATCAGGAGTCCGCCTACTGCACGTTGAGCTCACAATATCCTTTCTGCTTTCAACCCCGACCAATCGGAGAAGGCCGCTCATCGGGAATTTTGGCACTGGCATCGGTGGCCTCGCGACTATCCTTACTTTTATCTCGAAGCTGTCAGGCTTGGAATACAGATGTTCAATGCACCTTCTGTTCAAACTGAATGCTGAAAGGTCGGAGGAAAAGTATTCGTGAAAAGCACCATGCGCATGACTCAGGCCCGAATCGAACGGGCCACTTCCACCCGCAAGTGCTATGCCCTTTCACTGAGAGGTGGATGCGATACCAATCGCCGCCGAGTCGGTACCATGGGTAGGTTGAATCTTAACATCTAGGAGACAAAACCGCAAGAAAGGCCAAAAACGATGCACTTACGGCGGCGATTGGATATGACTAAGGCCCGAATTGAACGGCCACCCGCAAGCGTGCGCTGGGGTCTTCAAGTGAGGCGGATGCGATACCATTCACCACCGAGTCGGTATCATGGGTGAGTCAAGCCGGAACATCTGGGAGACTAAATTTGCCTGCACTTCTGGAGCAAGACGCACATACTGCACATATTTTGCAGAGACCGACCTTCATTATATCCTGCATCCCATCGCAGAGTTTTCATCCTCGTTGAATGCAAACGCCCTCTCTTGTTTTTATTCGCTCTCTGCACATACCAAAAATGCTGACATATGCAATCTGTGGTATGACTCGGGCCCGGATTGAACGGGCAACTTCCACCAGTAAGTGTTGTGGTCGTCTCCAACGCATGAGAGGTGGATCTGATACCATTCACCACCGAGTCGGTATCAGGGTGCGTCCAATTCCCATCACCTTGAGGTACATATTGCAAATATTTTTTGAGAGAATTCAAAAAGCCCAGCGATTGTGCGCAATAATATCGCAGGGAAGGCAAAAATGAGAAGCGGTTGGATCTGACTCAGGTTCGAGTCGAACGGAAAATTTCCACCCGCAAGTGTTCGCTGGGGTCTGGGTGCGATACCAATCGCCACCGAGTCGGTATCATAGGTGACTTAAGTTAGTGAGTCGAATCTGAACATTTGGGAGATTGAATTTGCCTGCCGGAGAGGACGCATGTATACACAGATAAGTAATATATAGGTGTGCAGGCAATTCAACGCGCCTACGAATCTGTGGCCTAGTAGTTGTAGTCAAAATTTCAGGTCATACGCAGGTCATACGCAGGTCTATCAGCTCGCACGCAAAAAAATCACTCATCAAGTTACTCAGACCCGAGTCGAACGGGTGATTTCCATTCGTAATGTGTCTACCCGTCAAGAAAAACACCGAGTGCATGTGATGCCTTCACTACCGAGTCGTCCTCAAGGTTGATTTTAGGTTGAACATGTTCCAAACTGCGAGAGATCAAATCTGCTGCGTGAGGGGTGGTAGACAGTAGATTCTCTTGACACCAACTACTGCTCTGGATTTGAAGTCAGAGAATCTTGGGACTTGAAGAATGTGGGTGTGAAAGGGAGGAATCCAAAAAAAAAAAAAAAAAAAAAGGATGTGCAAAGATGCAAATGTCTCGGTCCCGGCTCGAACGGGTGGCACTAAGCCAAGAGCGGCGCTCCCGATGGGGTGGGCGGCGATGCTGTTGGCCACCGAGTCTCTTCCTCAATATCAGTTTGTATGCACGCCAGAAATAAAGTGATCGTGCAACGGTGAAGATTGGTACTTGGACTTTAGGATACTGCGAGGCTGTCATACACATCAGAGCAATCTCACGGCTGGATGAGCTAAACAGCAACAGTGATCGTTGTACATGTACGCGCAACTCAAGCTTTACAAAAGCGTGGCAAAAAAAATGAGTTGAACCAGATCGGGTTGAGATTGGGCGAATAAAACGCCATTCAAGGGGAAAGCATCCTGCGAGGACCTTGGCCAAGGGATGAAAGGGAACTCAGATAGTTTACTATCTCCTAGCATCCAGAGGAGCAGAAAACGGCAAAAATTATCGGCCAGCGTATGACTCGGACCCGAGTCGAACGGGCGATTTCCACTGATTTCGTCAAATATCGTTTGATCATTTGAAGTGGATGTAATACAATTCACCACCGAGTCGTTCTCACACTGGGTCTTAGCTTGGTTGCGTCGGGCCCGAAATCACAGTATGAAGGATTGAGAGTGGGTAAATGCAGATTTGAAACAAATACTTGATCTCAGTGTATAAGCAGAAGACGATTCAGAACCTTGATGACCCGGACTGCTGAGGAGGTCGACAATTTGCAAAGCCACGACCTTTCACTTTGTCGTAGAGCGAAAGAAGTGCTTGTGATGATTCGAGGCCGGCCTGAGTTGAAGGTTGGAATAAATAAGCCGCCAAGGAGTAGTAGATATTAAGTTTATGAACAAGTCGAAAATGAAGCTCGAAAGCAGTCCCAACGCACTGCGGATGGCATAAAAATCAGCGCGCGCACAAGTCCAAGAAACTTACTCGGCGAACAGCCGCAACAACTCGAACGGGCGTCTCCTACGGATCGCTGCGACGATCATGTGGCGTTCAATTTTGGCACAAAAATACTCTTTCCGAACACGACTCGAATCGGATTCGAACCGACGCCTTCCGCACAAATTCGTGGTGCAATATCAAATCAAAGCGGATGCGCTACCGTTACGCCATAGAGTCTATACAAAGATAGGAAAGAGAAGCAACTTCGAAGCCAGACGGAAGTTGGAGAAATCGGACTTTCCCGCCATCATCCAGACACGTGACTGTGTCACGCGTTGCCTTGGCTGCGTCACGCCAATTTCCCGTTTCCGACTCTTCTCCTGGACCCTCGTCTGCTCGCTCTCCAGGCTGCCCATACAACTCGCTTTGACCGCTATATACTGTCCTCTTCTTGGTTATACTCGCTGCTCGGAACCAGGACCTCTCTCGACTTGACTCCAATTCGGCGGTACTTAGTGGATCTTGTGGACGACCAGAAACGACCCAGATTTGCTCGGATTCGACCGGATTATTAGACTAGGACCGTTAAACTCGACACCACCACGATGGTGAGCCCAGCCTGGCACTACGTGCTCAAATTCATCATCACCGGCGACGCAGCAGTCGGGAAATCCTCGCTGCTAGTACGACTTACGGACCAGCGGTTTCTCGCGAATCCGGATCCAACGGTACGTCGAGTCTCTCGTCACTTATCTATCCGAACTTTGCCTGTAGTTCCCTTGCGTCGATATCCTTAAATTGTGCAACGAAAAGCTGACGAACTGTGGAATTACAGCTCGGCGTCGAATTCGGCTCGAAACTCATAACCCTCCCCGGTCCCGAAGCGACAGTGGTAAAGCTGCAATGCTGGGACACCGCTGGGACGGAATCGTTTCGCTCCATTACGAGATCGTATTATCGTGGGGCTGCCGGTGCGTTTCCTCGCTCCTCCTTCCCTCTTTCATTTATCCACCATTCACTTCGCACTCGCTAACGCTCGCCAGGCTGCCTCCTCGTGTACGACGTCACATCTCGCCGCTCGTTCGACAACGTGCGCACCTGGCTCGCAGATGTGCGCGCACATGCGGACGCGCATGTTTCGTGTATACTTGTGGGGAATAAGGTTGATCTGTGTGAGGGGGAGGGTGCGTTAGTTTCTTGGTCTCTTGTTACCTTTTTTTTCTTTCTTTCGGAGAGGGGAGCGCGGGGAGGCGGGGAGGGAGGGGAGGAGTGATTGCTGGCGGTGTGCTCTGTGCGGCGGACGGCGGGCCTCGTGTAAGCCTCGTCGTTGTGTACGTCGTCGTCTGCAATCTGAGGCGGGCGCGCAACTGGGGAGGGCATAGCAGTCAAGGAGTCTACCCTTGCTGCTCCTGTCGGTGTGATCTGCGCGGCGGAATGCGTGCCTCGTGTACGCCGCGTGTACAGTACCGCGCCGTCCGACTTGCTTGCGGCGCACGATACGTTTCGGAGCGCAGCGGAGCGGCGCTCGGTGATTGTGATGTGATACTCGCGCTAGCAGCGAGCTGGAGGGTGTACCTGCGAGCATGAAGGCGGAACCCCCTCCACCCACTTCGCGCGATTTCTACATTCGCTCGAGACATGCAGCCTCGGCGCTGCATCTGTTATTGGCGTCGAGCGGAGCCGCACAAACACGGATGAGCGGTGGAAGGCAAGTGGGATTTCGGCGAGGAGCACTAGAGCTACTATGTTACGTTGCCAAACCAGAAGCTGAAAGGCTTGAAAAGCGGTGAACGCCAAAGCCCAGTAATTATAGCCATTGGCGACGGAAGGAAATGTGGGTCAGCAGAAGATGTATAGTTACTGCTGAACGCTCAAATTAGTGTTGTCGCATAGGTTCTTCCGTGTGGACTGCAGATGTATCGTGAATAAGCAGAAGCGGAAGGCAACGGCACGTTGCGTACCGTCCATCCACAGACCTATTGCACCTCAGATTCACCGTGCCGCTGCGTCCCATCGGCATTCCAAACCAGCGACACGATCCGCACGGGCTCCCTCGCCCACCGCGACACGTGCGCCGTCCGCACCCACATGTGCCGCGTGCGCACCCAGCTGTGGCGCGCACCCAACCCAACGGTCCTTAGGGTCGGACACAGCTTCTCCAGCGCGAGGATCAGACGGTGTTCGATGTCTAGCTCGACGCCGCGCGCGTAGCCAAAGGATAGGACTTCAAGCTGCGCGGGGAGGGTGATGCGCTTTTTGTGTAGGAGACGGAATAAGAGCTATGTACAGCCGGGTGTGAGCATCACAGGATAGAGTTAAAAGGAAGAGTGATGCAAGGGAACGTACAATCAATGCGCCCTCGGGACGGGGTTGGGGAAGAAGCTCGCCGAGCTCCGGGGCGTGCTCTTCAGAGGAGACTGCGGATGCGATAAGATACAATCGAAAAGGGCATAAATAAGGCGACGAACCATACATGTACCCGGGAAGGTAAACGACCGGGGCAGGAGGAGGGGGAGGGGGGACTGCGTCACGCTCGAGATCCGAGTCGTGATCGATGATGACCACCTTCTCCGAGTCCGAGCTGGCGTACTCGACCGACCCATCCCAGAGCTCCACCATGCGGTCATCTACGTATTCCTCCTCCTCTTCCTCACTCTCTTCCTCGTCGCTGGGAGCGGAAACCTGCGCTCTCCTGTATGGGACGTCTTGGAGCGCCATTTCGAAGGTGCGAAGGTCGGGGAAGAGGCGCCCGACGGCCCTGAGGAGCTTGGACAAGTGCGTGGCAAGCAACGGCTCGGTGATAGAGAGTGTCTGCAACGGTACAGATCCGCACGAGATGTTCCGCAAGAAGGCGAGTGTGTCCGCCAGGGGGTCCGAGTCCGTCGCGGGAGCAGTACTCCACAGACTGAGACTCCCAATGTTGATAACGGGTCGGTTGCACACGAAGAGGCGCGCGACGGTCGGCGGGCCCACGAGGGATGTAAGCGCGGGAATGGCAGTGTCGGATAGCCTCTGCGGGAGAAATTCGGGGGCGACTGCGGATATGAGGCGGAGGGATTGGAGACCCGGACAACATTCAAGGAGGGGGAAAAAGAGATCCACAAGTTTAGTCGTCAATATGAAGTGCAGCTGCGTGAGCCGGGGAAGTGGATGGTCCAGCAGCGTGGAAAGAATGCACCCATTGTCGGGAAATGCATCCTCAGATTTAGACGACCCATGGAGAGCTAGACTCTCCAATCTTTCGGGATCGACAAGTGTAATCGGTGTCGCGTAGTCCGATTCATATGTTCCAGTGAAGGAAAACTTCCGCAGAGGCAGGAGGCTTCCCGTACGGCCGACGATGTCGCAATACGTCAGCGTCAGATCCTGCAGCAATGACAAGGTCTCCAGCGTCGCGCGAAATTCGGGGGTAATTTCGATACAGCTCAAATCAAGCACCGTCAGTCGCTGATAGGCGCCCAGAGTCGAAGTGAATGTCGCCAGTAGTCGTCGCCACGTGTCCCGGAGAACATGGATATGGGTTATCAACGGGAATGTCTGCGGCAAATCTTCCATCTCCTCATCTCCCGCCCACGTCCACCTGCGAACCGAGAGGGCATGCGAAGAAGCTGCGATTCTGGTTAGCCTATGGTCCGCGTAGTGTACCGTCTGTGTGGCCGGTATCCATCCTCCAGGGTCGACGTATGGTGCCCTGACAGTCAATTGCCGAAAGAGAAGAGGCTGAGACAAGGTCTTGAAGTATCGGCACACCAAGGAGAGAGCTTTCAGCTGTGCGGGTTCGCTGAAAGACCAGCAGTTCAACCAGACCTCCGTGGCAACTCTGTCGACGTAGCTTTGGAGCGGGGGCATGATGGGAGGAAGAACCAGAAAAAAAAAGGCCGTCAATCAGTGACAGCGATGTGACTGATGCAATGCTCAGCCACTGATGGGCAAGCCGGGACAAAGTTGAAACTTGGAAAGTCGTGATTTACACGAAAGCAAAGTCTTCTTTCAAGTTCGCATGGACCCCATGTCACCAGTACGGAGAGACTAGCTGGAGACTTTTTAGATAATTTTTTGGCTTGCAATTCCGATTAGAGTTCACCCTCACTGGCAGTAGTGCAGGCAGTCACGGTCAAGGTACAATGTAACTCTGAGTTAACTTTGAGTCTTGGGGTTCCCACTACTCGATTTCGGCATGCTCTTCACAAAATATCCGGGTGGTTAGCGTCTACTTGACCTGACAACGAGTTATGCCTCGTTCAACTACGCATGCGACATTATTCTCAGCTCATTCACTGTACCACCCTAGTTTTCCCTTCGCTAATTTTCACGACGAGGTGAAAGGATTTTTCACATCTCGTTGGATTCTAAGTGTCGGAGCGCAGCAGAGGCGTATTTTATCGGCGATCAAGAGATCTCGAATAGCCCGTCGGGCCAAGCGGCAGTGATTGAGGTGTGTCGGTCTCCCGACAATAATGCAGCGAGGAAACTAGAATAGATATCTGATCTTTACAAGTTGTTTACTAGTACCCATTGACAGGTTTCGTCCTAGTCGGACTGCAGATTGTCCACAGTATCTACCTTGAATCGACGCATGTCGCGCCGCGTAACGACCGAACTCTCCCCGTCGTCGTTGTATAACTCGGCCTCGCTATGCACAAATCCCCCACCCAGCCTCCTGACCGGTCCCGTTTCCTTGAAAATACTGTCCCGCGAGATTTCAAGCATTGGCTCGGATGCATTCCCACCGTCAAAGCGATCCGCAACGCAGGCCCGAGCACTGGTGAGCCGTAAGTGCATAAGATCTATCTCCCGGATCCGTTGCGGTGTTGGACGACCTGCTCCATCCTCCACGATAATTTCTCGGGATGGAAGTGTGAAGACAGCGATGCCGACGCCGAGGGCGAGGAGGGCGTATCCGTAAGTGAGGGCCAGCACCATGCCTAATGGTCCAAGAGGATACCGGCTTACAGTGCCAGTGGTCACCTGATTGCCCCGGAGGGACGAGATCCTCTCTGTGAGTGGCGCAGCATATCCAAGGATCCCATGTGATACGTTTTTCGACAGGAAACTGTGAAATAGGTCGGATTCCACCTGTTCCGATGCTTCAAGCGTTGTGGTGATATAGGCCGCTAGAGTAGCCGAATATGCCGTATCAAGTGCGGCAAGGAGTGCAGAGGTCGTTGTGAAGTTGGTTCGTATGAGCGGGGAAGCCAGCGTGAAGCTGGGGGAAGATCCGTTCAAGGGCGCACTGT